ATGGTGATTGTTCGATTCTAGGACAATAGAGAGAGGTTGGGGGAAGCTAACGATTATGTTTTTAGAGCTTATTGTTAAACTCTTCAGTAACAATTACATTAACGTCTTACTGTCTGGTACCCAATGCCAAGGACAAAGCAAAAAAAGAGCTATCAAGAGGAAAAAAAAGCAAAAAAGGCAAGTGGCTGCCATTTCTGTTCACAACCCCAGCTTGGTGTCTATGAATAAAAAAAAAAATTATATATATTTAGAATGGATTAAGATTGATCAGCATGGAAAGCGAGCCTTGAATGTTTTCGGGGTAATGGTGTCCGAGCAATTTAGTCAAGACAGACTTGGATATTGTTGGTGAATGTGGACCCTGCATCCCTCAATGCCAAAGGCCCAGGCTCACCCTAAAGATTTTTTTTTTTTCCTGTCACACATCCTCAACAGCCTACAAGCATGGACCTACCAGTGCAGCCTTGCATCTATGGAACACCGAAAGACTCGGAAGCAACTCGGGAACATTACTAAAGATTATGTATAGCTACAAAGTGTGTATGTAAGAGTCTTGGTCCCTATGCTATTTTTAATTTGTTGTATGAGAAACAGAGAATGCAGTGTGCATTTGTCATTGGTGTTCATTTAATGTTTCTGTGCTTTAAGTTCTCGTGATTGAATTATGGCCTTTTACATGCTGTCAGCCCAGCTGTCCCATTAAAGCAATGGTATTACTATCTTGAATGAGTAAAAAAGCTAATGTGGTTTCTTCTTGACTGGATTGAGTGGTGCATGGTGGAGGAATGTAACAAATATACTTAAGTACTCCATTCAAGTGCACATTTTAGGTACTTTTACTTCACTTGAGTATATTTTAATTTGATTCCACTATACCTTATACCTACACTCCCCTACATTTCAATGGGAGATATAATAGTTTTTACTGTACAATATTATTTGCCAGCTATTAGTTTTTTGTACAAATATAAAATAAAATTATAGATTTTACATACTTTATAATCTCATCAGATCTTTTGTATGAGGCATTGTTACAGGAATTTGTCAAAAGAGACCTATTAAGTCAGTATCAGGAAAACTGATCAATGTTCACAGGAAATAACCAGTTCAAAGTTCATCCAAATTGCCCGCTTTACACAAACTTTTTGCAGTATTTGGGTTATTGTACAGTTTATCAGTTGCTCTGTACTATTATTATTGTTATGCATTTAATATAATATGAAATATCCATAAAATAAATCACTTAAGGGTTGTCAGTTAACACAATGATAGAAAAGCGGCCCCTTAAGGAACAAGGTTGGGAGACTACTGAACTAGAACAGTTAAATACTACTAAACCTACACATGAAATATAAAAACTGAGTTATGTATGTTAGCGTAGTTTTCTGCAGTGACTGCTTTTACTTTAAGTACTCTTGCTGATAATTCTTCTTTAACCTTTTACTGCTGTCAGCTGTGTTGCACATTAATACTTATTTGTCTCACATTCTTAGATATGCAGCCTCAATGGAGGACATCTTTGAAAAAGAGGAACGTGCTAAGGACCAACTGAGAAAACATGTCTGTGCTGAAGCTCTGGGGGAGGATATTTGTTCTCAGTAATACCAGCTGCTGTGTTTCCTGTTGAATATTGAAAGCACACAACATACTTTAAATTAAGTGGCTTCTTGGTTCAGAAAAAGAAGTTATGAAGTCAGAGAGTTCATTGTAAAGGCTTGAATCACCCAAAGTCACAAAGACATCTCTTTGGCAGAAAACCCTCCAAAAGAAAAGGTTTTCTACATTATCTGGAGTCACTGACGTACTGTTTCTGGAAATGTATTTTTTTAATGTCTGTATCACCACAAACAAATGTCCTTTCAGCTCCATTGTAATAGGTTGTGGCAGTAGGCTCAACACTGACCCTTTAACAGTGAACAAAAAGACTCAGTGGCTCACATGGTTGTGCTGTTAGGTCACTGGTTAAGAGTTTGCATATTTTTTATTCTTGATTGTGGTAGGTTGGTTAACTTCTTTATGTTAAGACCCAGGTTCTGTTCTTTATGCTGAAAAAGTATAACAAGACTATGTCGTGACAGCTCAAAGCGTAAACTGTCTTCTTGTGTTACATGGTAGTAAAGTATGAGTTTGATATGACTTGTGTGGTTGGCTTTGTGGCGTGGTGGCGTTGCCATAAATGTCTGAGAATGTGTTCTTCATTGGAAGAATGAAGAAAAAAATGTGACATGATGAACATCAGTTTATCTCTCTGAGATCTGACTCAACATATCTGTGTCAATCTTTCCTCTGGTTGTCATTTTTTACAGCATGTTGCCTGATATATATATATTAAAAAAAACATGTAAATGAAGAGTTGTTTTACTGAATGTATAAAAGGTTTAAGGTGTATTAGGATTTTCAAGGTGTAGGAGTTTGACATTATATTATGACATGATATGACTCAAGAAAATAAAATGTGGAGATACATGGTTTTCACGGGACATCATTGCACACAGTTTAATTCTGATTTCGAAAGATTTATTTATTTATGTCTGAAAGCAGTCCAAACTTGATATATTGAATCTCACAAATAATGGAACGAGCCAATAAAATATCCACTAAATTAGAACATAAATTGCCCCATTTCCAGAAAGAAATACTGAAGACATAACGTCACAGCCCTTTTTACTTTGGATATTTGGACCAGAGTTTTCTGGTCTGAGAAGACACAGAGATCTGAACATGAGGACTGACTGATGTTGACTAATAGAGAAATAATCAGTATTTATTGACCTCCAGTGGTCACACTAAGTCACTACAACACTACATTACACTGATTATGTCTCTTACAGGATTCATGCTTATTAGGAAAGTTTTACTTAACAAATGGAAAAAAGTTTAATTGACAAACACCTCACATAAAGTCTATTTCCAGGTAACTTTTATAGCAACGTATAGGGGGCCATCTTTGAATGCGGTATCCAGATCTATCAATGATGGAGAAAATCTGAAAATGCTATTTACAGGTGATAATGAATGGTTTGGATGTTTGGATGTTTTTAACCGATAACTAAAACTTTTAAACCGATAACTAACATTTTGTAAATTTGAAATATGATCAGTATTACACCTGTTGTTTTAACTGTTGCCACTTCACAAGAAAATGGTCATGTTGTTAAATTTCTATGTTTTCTTTTTAAATAATCAAAAGACCTGATAAATACCCAGATCTGCTTTTATATAACTGTGCTGTGTATTCACACCTGCTGAAGAGGTGCGTAGGAAAGTGATTTAAGAATTATTAAGAACTAAATCAAGAGCGTATGAGAGTAATGTAACGTCCATATTTGCATAGTGAAAGAGGATGTGCTGGTCTAACCTCTCTCCTCCTTTCAGGGTGGAGCCTGGTGAAGTCCAATAGTTGAGACCAGTCTGAGTAAAGTGTAGTGTGTTTTTTAATTGTGGTTTCTAAAAACAAAGCAGCACACATTCAACCATCTACAAACAGCTTAATTTCTATCCCAAGATAATTAAGACTTTTTCTTAAATGCTGTTATCTCTCTGGAGTAAGATAAGATAGGATTTCAGACTTCAAAATATATGTAATGAGGCCTCCTCACTATTCAGATCCTGGATTACTTGGTTCATGAGACGGGATCTAATTTTATATTTAAAATTCTTGAGTAAAGTAGAATAATCGTTCCATTGATGAGCTCCCCAAAATCTAACAGAGAATAGACAGAGCCCAGTACAGTGCAACCATTTAGTGTGTCTCATAGTTATGTACATCCCTGTTAGGCTGAAAAAGTACTTCACAAGGTCTGGTAAGCAAAGCAGGCAGATGCAAAATTTTATATATAGAAACACAAGTTTGGTATATATTTATGTTAAAAACTGATGGAATATTGAACTGATTGAAGAAAGGGCCTTTTATTGTTAAGCATAAAGCTGATGAGAGGGATAAGTAACAACCCAAATGATAGCAGTATATGTGGTAAGGAGGTAGGGATAAAATAAGCTATATTGAACAGTTAATAAGCATTTCTGATGAACCAAACATTGAAATTAGCCAACAATACAAATAGATTTGGATATTTTATTGCAAACAAACTGAATATGACTCTTACAGCAGCCAGGATTTCAAGGAAACATGTGGATGAGACCTGGGTAACTAGGTTAATATAAATAAGTAATAGGAGTGGTCCAGGAATAGATCTCTGTGGGACCCCCACATGTTTTAACAGCCTCATTAGATGTCCATTTATGAATATTAACATTAACTGTTGCTGATTATGTATGTAATTGTTTTGAAATAACCATGATTAACAGAGTCAAAACCTTTAGGTAACTCAAGAATACTGTACAGTACCAGATAGGATACGTGGGTCTTTGAAGCATTTTGTACCCTGGGACTCCTCATCTTACAGTCTTTGTACATTCAGGGCAGTGAAAATGAGTCTTGGAATTTATTGCATCATTCTACACATTTTTTGGAAGCGTGTGCCTTAAAGGATAGGTTACATTTTCTGAAGTCTGTCTGACAATAGTCATGTGGCCATGTGAAAACTGAAATGGGTTTAGCTTGCTATATTCATTCCTTCTGTTCATACTCGCCATTAAGAGATCCACAGATGTCATAAATTTACTTTTTATCCAGTGTTAAGCCACATTTTTATGACTGACTGATAAGCTGACTATAGTGACGGCAATGGTGGCGAAGACAACACCTCCTATGACCCGACGCTACTTCACCACATCATCAAACTTCGTCTTAT